TGGAAGCTGCGGTGGAAGCTGCGGTGGAAGCTGCGGTGGAAGCTGCGCTGGCTTTGCAGCGATCTTCGTTGAAGAACCAGGTAGCGCAGAAGAGGCACTGCTGCCTTTGCTTCTTTTGTTGTTGGTGATCTGTGTGCCAATAGTATCAGAGAGTGTGGCGTCCATCAACTACAGCAAGAAAAGACAAAGACCAAAGGAAGATACATAAATAACTGTTGATTGTCATGTTTCTCCCCCTTCCTGCCATAGTTTTCTGTTTCCTTGTTTGTTTTGCCTATCACCCATCCTTCAGCTCAAGCCTGCTCCCTCCAAGCCTTGCCATGCCTCCCTTGTTTTCTCCACAGCAATCAGCGCTCATCAGCTTCACCTGTTCACCTGTCTTTATAAGCTCCATGTCCACTAGCCACCAGTGCCAGATTTCAAATCTTTCCAAGTAGTAGATGTCCAGCGTTCAGGCTACAGCCTTGTTTGACTACCTGGTTCTGACCGCTTACCTGCCTTTTAGTTTCCTTGCCTTGCTTATCTCCTGTCTGATTGGGATCTCCCTCTCTGACCACAGTAATGACTCTGCTCTTCCTCAACTCGACTACGCCTCTTGCCTTGTACTCTGGACCTAGATAAGGATTTCTGACCACCTGTGTATGACCCTGGACCGTTATACTGGACCTCGATTCTGAACTTGCCCCAACGTCTCACACTGCACAGTTCTCCTGCTCCGCTGCAGCTCAATCACCGCTGGTGACGTCCTCAGATCCACCTGTCACAATGATTCTGCTTTCTGCTTGACTGTGAAGGTTAGTGACTGCCTTTAATCGCCTAAGAACCTTCACAGTCAAAACCAACTTTAACAAAACCTTTAAACCATTCTTGCATCTTGGTGCATTTCCTGAATCCAAAACCCGATTCATGTCAGTTGACCCAGTTATTATAACCCAACGGTAGACTGTACCACTAAGATCATCTGACAATCAGTGAACTGATTTCAACAGGAAGTCCATTTCCAACCTGGTTGACCAGGGCACTTGAGGGTGGACAAAATGGGTTACTCCCACAGAGTTGTTTAACATGTTGGTCTATAGATCGTTCTGGTGTTGGAACCAGCTGGCCATTTTATAAAAATACACTTTGTTTAGCCTTTTTGCTGTTTATAGGCCAATTTTCTGGTTTGGAACTGTCTAAAACTTGTATATCAACGTCTTGACACACAGCCCAGAACACAGCAGCTTGTCTCTTTGCTGGTAAAACATGGTGTGAACACATAACTCTGTTCTTGGGTTCCCTCAGCTGGTTTTTCTGTCTGTTTTTGAGCTTGTTTTATTTTACTGCCAGCTTTTAAAGTTTTAAAATATCTGGCCCCATCATGTTAAGTTATTCTTCTCAATATCCGTACACCAGTAGTGAGAGTACTCTTAATCTACTCTTAATCTACCAACCAGTTTCTACTGTATATTCCAAAATCCAAATGAACATAAATGCTTTTGAAGTGGTTGTCCCAAACCTGTAGAATAGTTCAACATCTCAGATTGCTGAGTCTTTAAAATCTCTGCTTAAATTTCTGTTTTTTTTCTTAGACTTTTGGATCACGTAGAGTATGACACCCAAAAAGAGTACTTTTCTATTTTAATCTACCTCAAGATAAATCATCCTTACGTAGTATATTACACACACACAAATATATATATATATATATATATATATATATAT